CTCGGTTTTGGGCATGGTTTTTCGCTCAAGACATGAGCAAAACACAGTGTTTTTGACACTTTCGCGTGGGCGCAAGGCCTCGGAAAGCGTGAAAAACATAAGTTTTTTGCGGAAACCTGCTTATTGGTGAGGCTTTGCTGGCCCCCGCCAAACCCGGCTTTGGAGATTGCATTGCCTACAGCGAAGTGTCTCGAAATAAGAGTGAGTGAGTGCGAGTGAGTGAGTGAGTGAGTGAGTGAGTGAGTGAGTGAGTGAGTGCGTGCGTGCGTGCGTGCGTGCGTGCGTGCGTGCGTGCGTGCGTGAGTGAGTGAGTGAGTGAGTGAGCGAGCGAGCGAGTGAGCGAGTGAGTGAGTGAGTGTGTGTGTGTGTGTGTGTGTTGAGTTGATGTCAGTGTGTGTTGCGACGTTACTACTGCGCACTACCTGCCATCTTAGTAGATGTTTTTTGCCACACGCTTATGGGCCTGCCTCCTTCCGCAAACGTGCCACGCGCAAGTTGCCCCGTGCTTCGAACAGATTGCTGTAAACTGAGGCTGCCGGCGCGGCCGGCGGTGCGTCAGCAACGTAAATCCGGCCGCGCCCCGCGAAGGGGGCGAAGAGGCTGTGATCGGGCCGCAGGCCAAGCCCGCAGGGCTTACCTTCAGGTTTTTCTGGGCCTGCGGCCTCTAGCCGGCTACGCCTCTTTGAAGTTATTCCATGTCATGTCATGTTTTTTGTATGAGAAACATATTCTGTGCTATGACTGCTATGATATGGCTGGTTTGGTTATGCATGTTGCCCACCTTAACCCCAGATAATGCCGGGAATGCCGGCTTTCTGGGCCCCAGCCAGGCCCCAACCGAGAAGGCTGACATGGGGTCGCGCGCGCGTGCGCGCGCGCCAGAGGACCAAAAAAAAGCAGCCCAAAAAGAGCAGCCCGCAAGCCAGCCCGGAAGCGCAAATGCAACAAAACACTGTAAATAGCAGCCTTTTGTGGCTGGGGTCGCGCGCGCGCGCGCCAGAAGGCCCGAAAACCAACGCGAAAAAAGCAAGGACCGCGCAGCACGCGAGCCAGCCACAGCAAAAGCAAAACGGACAGAACAACAGCCCACAGCACAGCAGTTTTTGACGGTATTTACAGTGTTTTGTAGAGCGAAGACCCAGCATCGCCGGCATGCCCAGCAGCGCTTGGCGCCAAAATGCGCGAAAATGAGCCTCGCTTATATCCCTCCGACACCTTCTAAAAAACAGGGATTCATGGGTTGAGAGGCTTTTTGGAAGGAAGTCTTGATGATGCAGACCAAGCTCCGCTGAAGCATCACCCAGGCCCAACCCCAGACCCTGGTGATGTCAATGCATATACGCGATGTTTTGCGAGGGCTTCCCACAGGCAAGCAAAACCGCAAGCCCGAGCTGGTGATGCAGAGGTGCCGGATTTAGGCAGCGCATCACGACCAAGTGGAGAGGGTCGGCGGCACCAGGGTGCACCCCCTATAGCTAAAGCTAGCAGGCCAATTGCCTAGAGGCGACATGCGACCCCAAGGAGGCGTAGGCCGGATAAGGCTGTCCGCCCCATGCCGCCGACCATGAGCAGACCATATGCGCATACGTTTTGCGCTGGGCCCGCCCTTATAAGAGGCGAAGGATTTTGCGGGCGTCCAAAAACGAGTGTTTTCGGGATGTTTCTCGGGGGGTGCCTAATACTGGACAACACCCCCAGCACTGCCAGCATCATCCCGGATGATTCGGATGACGCTATGCATGCTGGCGATGCGAAACAAGGGGCTGAAAATTGCAGAAAGCGAAGGGGAAATGCAAGGGAAACAGCATGAAGAAGGCGCTGGAGAGGAACCAAAATGCAGGAAAATGCAAGCAGAACGCGAAGGGAACCGGAGGATGGGAACGAAAAGAAATTGCTGCGAAGAGAAACTGAAGAGAAATGAAGGGATGAAAAACAACTGAAGGAAAGGAGTGCGAGTGAAGGGGCGTGCAAATACGCAGCTGTGATGCCCACGAGGCGCCAGTTCGACTCGGGGAAGCGGGAGCGCTCGAGCGCGACCTCGAACTTCGTCCTGATGGCCGCCATCATGGTTCCGGCGCGCCAGCTTGAGGACGCGCTCGGACGCGGCCGCCAGCTGTTCGACCAGATCGCTCTCGGCCCGCTCCCAGAAGAGCCTCGTGCGCTCGTCGGTCGCAAAGCTCACGCTGGGGCGCTGGCCCTCGGAAAAGGCCCTGGGCTCCCATGGGATTTCCAGCGAAGCTTCGCTGTGCCAAAACAACGGCTCCAGGGTCAAGAACTTGCCTCCCTTAGCATTGGAGCGCACCTCGCCCAAGTTCCACATGCTCTTCTGGCCTGGCGTCATCGTCCTTTTCTGTCACCGATTAAAAAAAGGTTGGTCCGAGCATGCGAAACTGCTTGAGCCGCGCCGTCGCCTGCGCGTGCTTCGTCGTGGTGATGTTGATCTTTAAAAATGCCGAGACTGCTGGAGCTGTTTTGCGGCACAAAGTCGATTGGCCGAGCCTTCGAGGCGGCGGGCTGGGAAGTTGTCTCCCTGGACATCGTGTCGAAATTTGAGCCCACGATCCTGTGCGACATCCGGAGCTGGCACTACGCGCTGTTTCCGCCGGGGCACTTCGACAGCCCGGACTGCACGGAATACAGCCGAGCGCTGACGAAGCGTCCGCGGCTGCAGGAGGGCGACGCGCTGGTGCTCAGCGCGCTCGAGATCATAGCGCACTTCGACCCGCTCATGTGGGTCATCGAGAATCCGGCCGCTGGGCTGCGAGCGTTCATGGAGCGCCTGCGCTGGGCGGACGTGACCTACTGCAAGTACGGGACTCCGTACAGGAAGCAGACCCGGCTGTGGACCAACATGCGCTGGAGGCCGAGCCGAGGGCTGTGCAGTGGGAAGACGGGAGGCATCGCAGGGGCGCCCAGGGGGGCCAGCGCGAGAAGGTCGGCGGGCAGTCGCGCGAGCTGCTCTACAGCATTCCCACGGCGCTGTGCGAGGAGATTGCAAGCGCGGCCACGGCAGAGCTTGCGGAGCGGCTGAGCATCCCGGACTAGGGCTGAACCAAGGATCATTTTTTATAAGATCCGTCTCGGAAGATCCGTCTCGGGCCGGGGGAAAATACTTCCCTAAGGAGAGGCGCTCACCGGGCTGGAGGTAAAAAGATCCGTCTTGGGCCAGGGTAGTAGTATTCTAAGGAGAGGCGCTCACCGGGCTGGAGGTGAAAAGATCCGTCTCGGGCCAGGGTAGAATATTATTCTAAGGAGAGGCGCTCACCGGGCTGGAGATAAAAAGATCCGTCTCGGGAAGATCCGTCTCAGGTCAAGGGAAAACACTTCCCTAAGGAGAGGCGCTCACCGGGCTGGAGGTAAAGTCTCCAGGAAACTGCATGACATGCAAAGGAAATGAAGTTCAAATCCCCAGGAATTAAAGGAAAAAGGGCAGGGCGCCCGGTGGCCGTGTCGCGTCAGCGTGTAAATCCGGCTACGCCTCCTTGGGGTAGCATGTCGCCGCTAGGCAATTGGCCTGCTACCTTTAGCTACTACAGGGGGTGCACCCTGGTGCCGCCGACCCTCGCCATTGGTCGTGATGCGCTGCCTAAATCCGGCACCTCTGCATCACCAGCTCGGGCTTGCGGTTTTGCTTGCCTGTGGGAAACCCTCGCAAAACGTCGCGTTTCTGCAGGGTTTAGGCCATGTGGCTGACATCCTCAGGGTCTGGGGTTGGGCCTGGGCGATGCTTCAGCGGGGCTTGGCCTGCATCATCAAGACTTCCTTCCAAAAAGCCTCTCAACCCATGAAGCCCTGTTTTTTTAAGAAGGTGTCTGAGGGGTATAAGCGAGGCTCGGGTCCTCGCTCTCCAAAACGCTGTAAATACCGCCAAAAACTGCTGCGCTGAGCGTTGGGCTGTTGTTCTGCCCGTTTTGCTCTTGCTGTGGCTGGCTCGCGCGCTGCGCAGTCCTTGCTTTTTTCCCGTTGGTTTTCGGGCTTTTTGGCCCGCGCGCGCGACCCCAGCCACAAAACGCTGCTATTTACAGTGTTTTGTTGCGTTTGCGTTTCCGGGCTGGCTTGCGGGCTGCTCTTTTTGGGCTGCTTTTTTTGGGTCCTCTGGCGCGCGCGCGCGTGCGCGCGACCCCATGTCAGCCTTCTGGGTTGGGGCCCGGCTGGGGCCCAGAAAGCCGGCATCCCCGGCGATACGTTTCTCATGCACAAAACATGACATGACGTGGTATAACTTCAAAGAGGCGTAGCCGGCTACAACCCGCAGGCCCAGAAAATAAGAAAGATTGGCACATGTACTATAGTTTGAATCCACATTGAATCTTCAGTTGAGGCACTACTGAAACCCGGTATACCCAAAACCATGTACAGAACCTGTATATCCGCACAATTTATGGCTGGACTACCCCTTGCCAACCGTTGATCACCCAGTGGCATGCGCTAGTCGACTGTTTTTACCAATCGAAAATGGTACCATTGCCAGCCAGCTGTGTTGACATGTCTAGCCAACACAGCACTCGCAACAAGTGGAGATGGCTCAAACATGTTCTATCATACGTGCCAAAAGGTTTGCAGGAGTCAGGGGTGGTTAGTGTCTTGCTACCCCGACAAGTGATCGGCACACCCTATTGAACATATCAATCCAGGGTTTCCCATGAATTGTAAAAAGCAGAGGCAGCTCACTGAAAGGAGGATCAGGGGTCCTCATGTTGCCCTTTCAAGTGTGTTTTCCCTCACTCAAATCAGGGTTCCCCCCAAACTAGGGAAGCTATGAGGGAATGTTGGCTGCTTTTGTTTGCCAGGCCCCTTTCGGTGGAGCAACTCTTCGCAAAAGGAGCATGGTGTTTCTCGAGGCGCTTTGGACCAAAACAACCCAATATAGCCCACTATGAACATTTGTGTCTGTTGTACTTACTACTGTATTCAGGTACTGTTCAAACAACTGAAATCAGCTTTTTGGTCCTTTTTCCGTACTCAAGCTGCGTGGCTCCCTGAAACTCTAAAAGTGGACTTCACCACAGTGCTGAAACGCGAAGAAAAGCAGGCACGACCATGATGGCCGCGGATCGATGGGCAGCTCCTGCTTCAGTGACACGAGAGCTGTCAGTGACACGGGAGCTGTCAAAGGCATAAACGCTACCACCACCAGATCTCTCGTCACCTTGTGAGATGCAGCAAGAACAGGTGCCTTCGTTGACAGTGTCATCATATTGAAAGCGGGGAAACTGCTCAGCAGCACAAAAGGCAGCGCAGTCACCGAAAGTTCTTGATGCCGTCCGGGCCTTTGTTGACTCAGTACAGGAGCAGTTCGGCCCGCATAAAACCCGGAAGTAGTAGTCCGCATCTACATCTCTGAACTCGTAGACATTTACCCCCCAACCGTCGCCGAAAATAACTTCAACGGTGTCGCAACAGTTGCAGTTGTTATCGCCTTGACTGCCGTCTAATTTTACGCCACTGGCGTGCTTGAACCAGGATCCCTCTCGCGCGCAAGTTTGAGCGCAGCTTTCTAGAGATTGGTGGCCTCTCCAGCCAGGAGTCGATGCAGTGAGACAGCTGCATTGTGTGCAAACCACCTGGGTCACATAGGAGCTTGGGGACTGAGCATGGCTGGTGGTCACTGTCGCATCGCTGACCTGGTACACATTTATCCCATAGTCAGCGGGTTGATCAATGGTCTCCAAGCTGCTGCAACAGCCACAGTTGTTATCACCTGGGCTGCCATTGGATTTTAGGCCACTGGCGTGCTTGATCCAGGATCCTTCTTGTGCGCAAGTTTGAGCGCAGCTTTCCAAAGATTGATGGCCTCTCCAGCCAGGATTTGTTGCAGTAGGACAGCTGCATTGTGTACAAATGGTTTCGATCACATACGAGCCGTCGCTGCTACTAGTGGTCACCAAGATGTCGCCATCAGCCAGGGTTCTCACCAAAAAGGTGTAGAGTTGAACCATTGGCAACATGCGAGAAGCCATGGGGGTTCAAGGTGGAAGCCACAAGTGACTGTACAACAGTGGCTGTCGCGGGGGAAACTCCTCAAAAAACGATTCAAGCCACAGAACCAAACCATTCGGCAGCAGTATCAGCACAACTGGGAAGAAACAAGCTGTTGGCTAAAGCAAGATGAGCTTTTGGATTCTATTCTGTGTTTATGTGGCTCGGAGGGAATGAATCAAAATGTAGCATCAACATCTCAATGCCGTACGCACAACCTCGATGTCACCCGCCACAGCAAGCGCGTGCCCATGTGCCAAGTCGAAGTGCCACCCCATCCCTGCAAAGAAACAAACTGGCAGCGGCAACAGTGGGCCGAACAAGACCCCCACTGACCCCCTCTAGTCCAACGCCTAGATCGTGCTGTTGCGCCAGCACATGTGCAACCAACAGCTCCTGCAGTTTAGAAATGAACCCAGGTCGACCCAACCAGGTCCCCCAAACGAAGGCTTGGCCAATGCTTCTCCCTAATCCCCGAGGTTTGTTGATGCCAGTTTGAACTGACCTGCCCCGGGGCAACATTCGGATCCCTCCCCCAATACACACAGACAGACACAAACAGCCCAATACCCAAGCGTCCCGTCCCAAGCCACGTCCCAAGCGTCCTTGTCTTGGAGCAGCTCCTCCGGGCAATGCATCAAGAAGCTCCCAGAGTGCTGCACGGCCGCCAGCGCCAGGTCCCGGTTCTCCGCGAAGCGGCCCCGCACGTCGCCTCGGGCAGGTCGAAGCATTTCAACCGGAGAAGAGTGGAACCACGGGCTAGGAAAAACCCAAGCCTTGGAACCCAAAAGATATCTCAGATATCAAGCAACACACACTAGCAATTTGGAGGACACGCGTTGTCTGACACATTGCGAAACTTAGAATCGTCGGAAGAGGCACAATGATGTTTCCTCCTTCCTGTCAGATAGTGAGCCATCCCCCATGTTGCGAACCCGCTGACGCTACTTCTTTCATGTGTCTTGTTGCCCCTTTCTTTTGCCTACGCAGCCTCGCTCGGTGCAAGCAGCCTTTGTCTTCGTCCCTTGTCTCGCGCTCATCCCTCTCAGCAAGCGGACATTCAACAAACGAGGGTTACAGATTTCGACAATTGCATCAAGATATATCTCCCCCTTTCGCACGTGCCTCCCAGGTCGATCTGCCCTGGTTGCTCAACGAGGGCTGTGAAGGATGGCAGCTCCGGCACCAGCGATGCGAGGACCTGAAAAACGGCGAGCCCCGAATCGATGTAGCGAAGGAAGCCTTGCCTTTCCATGGTCCCGCTCTCCCGAAGATATGCTGTCCGAGGAGCCCGATCCAAAGCCGCAACCCAGGCGGGGTTGACCCTCCAGGGCAGGTCAAAATGCATCACAGCTCGCTGCGCAATGTATCTGTTTCATCAGTCGGTGTGCTGAAACCAAAATTGCGCAGAAATCCGAGCCTCACGAGAGTCAAGCTCAACGGCACATCACCTGGGCCATTGCAGGGTATGCTGCAATGTTCAAAGAGTAAGCCATGAGATGTGATACTGTTGACTGCCTCTTGCCTCTCAAGGATTTAACATCCTTCTGACTGAGCCGGTGCAAACCGTCAAGGACTCGCCCAAGAATTAAGAAGAATCGGCATCAAGTACGTCACCGGCAAGCACCAGAAAGCGCAAGCACTCTGTCTGCTTTACCTCTTACAAGCTGCCCTCCTCTTTGTGAACCTGCGGCATGTTTACCCGGCAGGATCTGCCCGTCTGGGCCCTCGCACTCTTACGGAGGAGCATGAAGGGCAAAGGGCCAGGGGCCAAAGCAACTCCGCCCCAGACAAGTCGGAAGTCATCGCCTGCCGAACCGTGTTTATTATCAAAACCGTTTGTTCAATTCCAGCCAAATCCAATCCATCAGATAAAGAGCGGAGATCTGCACCTGTTTATGGCAAGGGAACAGTCCGGAGTTCAAGCCTTTTCTGACCCCAATCGGTTGCAGGCACTTTTTGGCCACATTCTCGGCGCCTGGGATCTGGGTCTCCAAGCTCACTGCATCCAGCAGGTCCTGACACAGCTTCCGTGGAAGTGGCCTGGGAGCCGGAGTTTCAAGGTCTTGCTTGTCGAGAACTGAGATTCTATGAGCAAAACACAGAATTGCCACCAAGGAAATGTCATCTCCTCGGATTCGTTCCAGCTTTGAAAGGAAGGATCTGGCAGCGGAAGTTCGGAGCCAGCCCAAGGCTTCCCCCCCGTCCTGCAATGTCCAGGATGCCTTAGGCACCACCTGGCAGAGGAGAGACCCCTGGAGGCCGCACATCACCTAGCGCAGCTGCACCCGTGTGACTTGGGAGTTTGGAGAGAAACCGTTGATGCAAGACGAGAGTGCTGAAAGCCGCCCCTGGTTCGTTCCAATCCCGGGCCACGCAACCCGAAAGCACGGAATGACGGAAGTGCCATGAGGTGCGGCGTGGGACCCGAGATTCGCGGGGCCCGCGTCAAATTCCGCCAATCACAAGCCCTGCCTGAATAGGAGCGGGGCTGTGGGGCATCAAGGCCGCATACGCGGCGATCTGGGCCCCCGTGGCCAGGCATTTGGAGTGGGTCATGGCACATCCGCAGGAAATACACGCAAAGTTGTCTCAAGCCTGGCTCATGTCTAAGCTCCATCTAACCTCGCACCTTTCCACATAATAATGGGTACGCCCACTCTGGGTTGCTCTCACCTTGGGTGAGGAACCAGCCCAGCTGAGCCAGAATTGCAAAGAGCGTGATCAGAGTATGCAGTGCACGCAAGCCGCCGCCAATCCAACATGATGCACGCGCATTGATCAAGCTGGAACATACTTGGGTTTGCTCAAAACAGGCAAACCCGTGGTGGGATTGCGTTGAAGAGAAATCAAGCGAAAACCAAACATGTGTGGGTGGTCATGGTGGTCCTCTACTATTGGAAACACCGGTTTGATTTGAATATGCAAGGTGCCGATCAGCGTTCACTCCATATTTGTGTGAATCGAGTGAGCTGAGTGACATGAGCACGTCAACGCAAAAGTGGGTTGGAACCTTCGTGCGGTTCTTCCTCTTTGGCTTCTTTGTTGGCCTCGGATAGAGATCAAGTAATTGAGATCAGTCTGCCGCAAAATGGACCGATCACTGGACAACCTCCGCATGGTGCAAATCCCTAGATGACAATGCGGTTTCCCTTGCAGAACAAACACTAAATGCCAGGGCCGAAGTGCTTCTTGAACTTTGCCATCTCGTCTGAGGTGTAGAAATCTGACTGAAACTTGTTGCCAAAGTCCAAGGACTGGTTCTCACTCATCGCAGTCAAGATTGCAAGCCTGACAGGGGGGGAAGCTCAATATGGGCATCGCAACATCCCAATCCCAGATATGTGACGCAAAGCCCCATCTCCATTTCCCAGGCACCTCTTCTCCGGATCTCTTTCATCAATGACTCCTGTGGGCACTCCTCCGATCATGAATCCAGAAGGAGCAGCCCCAGGTTCGTCATACCTGCACGAAGTGTCAACCGGGTCAAACGGCTCAGATTGGTCTAGGATGTCCGATGCTCACTTGTCCAGGATGTCGGCATTGGGCTTGGTCGGGTCGTATTCCACCTGAGACCTGTCAGCTTCCGGCCCTTCCGGCTCGCCGTGGCGGACCAGTGGATCGGCCTAATGGCGTCATGCTTCTTGGCCTTGTCGCTATCTAACCTGGCAGGCAACGCCAATGGCTCTATGACACCGGTAATGATAAGCCATGGACTTCTCTTTGCGGCAAGCCGCTTTCAAACTTGTTGATTTGCAGTATACGAATCTCCAAATGATGGTTTGCTTGCCGGAATCTGCCCATCAGGCTTGCTTGCCCCCATGCTTGTCGCACTTTCAGTCCAGGACACAAGCGAGCCACATTAGCTTGTCAGTGTATTCATGTAAGCAAACACCTGTTGCATTTACTTGCCTTGGTGCAAGAAGTGTTCTGTCCTTCTGTCCCTCCTCACCGAAAAGTGGTTGCGCATCAACAACAAGATGCCGGCGAGCCAGGGCGGTGGCTGTTAACACACACAGCACCGTCTTCTTGCAAACAGGCAGCAGATTGGCATTGGAGAGCTCATCCGGCCTTAGCTTAGGCCCGTGGCTGGCCGGCTGCGAATGCGCTCGCGTTTTGCTCGCAAAGAGTTGCATCCGTTGGCTCAAACATGGAACCCCCGTGACCCCATCTTTGAATGAAAGAGGAGCGAAGGGAAAACACAACTGACCCCCGCCCCCCCCCCCCCCCCCGTTTTGCGGACCGGGACTTCCCTGCCCCGAGTAAAAACTCGCCAATCACCTACCAAGCCGCTGCTCAATGAGATTGCCATCCTTGTCAATGAGCCGCTGGTCGCTGAGGGTCATGATGACGGACTGCCGAAAGTGGTGCCGATGCACGACTTCAACTTCAAAGGAGGCTCCATTTGGTATGACAGAACTTGGTCCTACAACCAAGTTGTCCACAACCATGTTCAACAAAAACACAAATGCAAATCAGCACGAAACAAAGCTGAAGCAGGCAGTGACAAGCTGGTTGCATTGATTCAAAGTGCACGTGCCAGCGGGGCCTCGCCCTCTTTGATCGCCCCTGAATCATGCCTCACCTTCATCTTGGGCACCTGCCATGCAGTGAGCCCATATTGACTGTCAACAGTTTCCTTTCAACTCCAGAGGGACACTGCTAGGCCTCACAAGCACTACTCGCCAACAAACTCGGGTGCTGGCATTTGAATCTCCTCCTGGAGCATCTTTCCTCCGTATCCACTCTCTCATTTGCTCTTGCCTGCTCTCACTCTCTGCTGCTTCTCCCGCTCTCTCTCTCTCTCCCTCTCTTTCTCTCCCTCTCCTCTCTCCCTCTCTTTCTCTCCCTCTCTCTCTCTCCCTCTCTTTCTCTCCCTCTCTTTCTCTCCCTCTCTTTCTCTCTCTCTCTCTCCCTCTCTTTCTCTCTCTCTCTCTCTCTCTCGCTTTCTCTGTCTCTCTTCCCACCAAGTCCTCTTTTTGCCATCATCTTTCTTCGCATTGGCGCCCGCACCCTTCATGCTGCCATCAGCACCGCGGGTCCTGTAAGAGACAACCTCACATGCATGCGATCCCTTAAGAAGGCTTGTGCAACACACTGCAGAGACTGATGCAAACGTCTCACGTACCGAGCGGAGTCAGGCAATGGGAACCCAGGACGAATAAAACCCGTGCTTAGTAGGGGGTGCGTGTGGGGCTCCTCACTTTCCTTGGGACCCCCCCTCTACCAACAGAACAAGTTATAGGGTTCATTGGTCCGGGATTCCCGTTGAAGCGGATGTCCTGGCTATCCAATCGGACGCGCCACTCTTGCCCTCCTGTGCTCAACAGCGGCACTTCTTTGCCATGCAAACATAAAGCTGAGACAAATTGGCCTGAAAACACCGCAAGCAATATGAAACTAAGATGGGAACATTTGCAACTGGCTGATTTCCTGTTGTGTTTTCTTGTTCAACTCGTGGCCCCCGTTTGTGGCACTCTCCCGCATTTACAGAAATTATACGTGACCTGCCAGTGAGTTCCGTCCTCATTCTCCAGGATGTCGCCTAAGCCAGGACCCTGCGTCAGCTCCTCAGGCTGTCAGCCGTGATTAGAACCATGCTAAACCCGTGCCACATGTGTCCAATCAAACTGAACTAAAAGGACACCTATGAACACTGGGCTCCTCATGCTCTCGCCTTGACTTTGCCGCGGCTGCCTGACAGGATGACAAAGCGCTCAGGCGAAGCAACTCAGGGGGATCTGCTCGATTCAGCCTTCCGCTTGTTGTCCTTGTCCTTATCCTCTTTGGCGGGTTCAGCCTTTTTGTCCGCTGGCATATGAACCTGGCTGGAACGATCGATTCATTGGTTGTTGATACCTGAAGGCTTTGCTGGAGCAGCGACACGCCAAGCTTTGCCCGTCTGAGATGGGTGCTGGGTCCTTCGATGTACCCTTGACACCTGGGACACTTGCTTCACTCCACAAATTGTCATAAATTGTCTACAAATGACTTCCGGACTTTTGTCCACCTCAAGAGGGACCCGGGACGCCAGTCAAAACAACAAACCCAGCTGCAGCGCAAGCGCGCACAGAGAGAGAGAGAGAGAGAGAGAGAGAGAGAGAGAGAGAGAGAGAGGACAAAAAGATGGTCGAGGGCTCGGCCTTCTTCATCCTCCTTTAGGCGCTGAATTCCTAGCCTGGCGGAGGGAAGCAAACGAAACAATCAGCACGCGTCTTGAAACCTAGTACCATGCAAAATGGGGTCAAGTTACTCAAGACTGCAACAAGCATCTCATTGATTAAACTGCCAAAGGCCCAAGGCAGAACCTGCCAGAGAGGCGAAGCACGAAGCTTATTGCTTTCCGCCACAGACTGGCTGACCTGCGAAGCACGCCAACTTGCCGAGGCGAAACATGACTATCACTCCAAACAATAGCTGTCCAAGCAAGACAACACAAGTTGGCACTTCTCATGTCACGCACCTCGCCGGATTTGGGAGGCATCCTGATCGTAGCCCGCGCGTGGCCAGGCCTCTCACCGCTTTGGTTTCGGCACAAGTCCTCTTGCGCATGCGACGTCCGGCCTGCCCGTGGCACACTGCGCGGCAGGCACGCGGTACCACTAGGGAACTACCTATGGAGCCACGATCCGAGTTGTGAGATACATTGGAGCTCTCCTGGACTTCGCTCAAGTCGGGGGCTTTGAGTGTTCTTCTGGTATCCTCTGTGGGGTGTTTTGAGCAGACCTCCCTTGGCTTATCCAGCACGAGGTCTTAATAGCTCGCTTTTTTGAAAGCTCGTTAACCGCAGGCGCGTGTTGCGCTGCAAAGTGTCTCTCATACACTGCTTCTGCCTCGTCAGGACTCTGATCAAGCAAACTTCTCCAAGTCACCGTTCCAGATCTTGATTCCATGCAGTAAGTTTGACATCAGCAACCCAGAGTCATTGAGGGCGGCTGTCCACACGTCATGTTCTCCATTCCTGAAGTGACGGAGTTGCGACCCAGATTCACTCACAGGAGGCACTCAGGCAGCCTTTGCCAACCTGGCAAAGATGAACAGCAGTGCCACGTACATCTTTGGAGCAATCCAGGTGCCTTGCAATGACTGTCCCACCAAGCACCTTCATGTCGTTGACAGCCTCAGGCTGCAAGGGACTCCCGTCCCCGTCATCGCAACTGTCCAAAGTCTCCTACAGCAAACCCTTGAAGTTGATTGAGCAAACCCTTTAAACACCATCCGAGGGAGGGCCATCATGTCTCACATGCGGGCTCAGTGTCCCCTCCGCTCGCCTCCAGCGCCATCTTCGCGTGAGCGGGCTGCACAAACTGGATCAAGGCGTCGGCGCCCACGCCGATGGCGTGGGATCTCCGCCGGAGGTAGGCGATCTGCGAGCGGATTGCACAGCGTGCGTCCACTTTCGTTGGGCACAGGGGGGACCCCGCCGGAGTCGCAAACCGCCTTTGTTTGGGGCTGCCCCCATGTTGAGAGCCCATGAAATGAAGAGCACACTACCATCAGGTATCATCAGGTTGAGGCATGTCGAGGGTCCTGTAAAAGATGAATGTGAAAGAGACAATCAGGGAGTCCCTCCGCTGCTTGTGGTGGGGGATGTGCTGTACATCAGCAGGTTCATGAACTTACAACAACCATGGCAACACTTGGGATAAACCGAAGGCCATGCTAAAAGGAAGGCCGAAGGAAATCAGCTTCCGGCCAAAACCAAAGCGGTGAAACCAAATAAGTGTCGAGGCAAGCAACACCGAGTTGACATGCTGCTGAGCCTCAATCGGCACACTACCACAAGAAGCCCGATAGAGAGACAGGTAGGCGACCATCAAAACCAATGCCCCAAACATGCCATCGTATGAGTGCTTCCTACCATTGGGAGTCTGAGCTATTTCCGAGGTTCCCCTATTTTCGGACACTCCGTATTGGGTCCGACATGGTCCGACCACCTTTTGTGTGCACGGAAAACGGCAACAAAATGTGCCGTCTAGCCGCGAGACAAAAACCCCAAGGGCACCCTCGAAGACTGTCCCCGCACGGCCCGGAACCCCAAAGCAGGCCTTGCCGAAGCACTCCATGCGCTCGCGCAGCACTTGCATGGTTAGCTGATACGGTACCTGGACAAAGGTCGGCAGGTGTCCAATCTGGACTGCATGGACACAAGCTCAAAGTGGGCGCACAGGACTAATGATCAGCTGCGCTTCAGGACTTTCTCTACCACCTGCCTGCGTTCAAGCAGGAAGCTGGGACACAGGATCAACGTGTCAATTTTCACCTGACCCTTGCAAAAGCAGTCAATCTCTTTCAATGTGATGGGAACAGCCATCAAAGATGAGATGCTGATTGCAAGTGGTTGGCCAGCACAAAAACACGCGCTACTAGCTCTTGTGCTTGGAAACTTGGAAACCTCCATTTGCTCCCTTCGCCGAAGTGGCCAAGCGACCTTCAAGAAACTCGCTTTAAATTGGGCAAAAATGGATAGGAACCACTTCGAAAGCCATCCAGCAATACTGCCACCAACCCCGCCTCGACCGTGTGACGGCTGGACAGGCCAATGGCACGCACTCGGCCCACACGGTCCAGGAGCTGGCGGTTGAATTGCCAACCGACTGAAGCCCCCTTTGGGAACTGGCGGAAGGCAAGAAGCCTAGCATGGCCTAGCAATTCAAAGGTTCCCAATTTGGGGATTTTCACCGGTGTCACATCAGCTACAGGCCAAGCCAGTCACGGATGTTATTGCAACCTCCGTCCAGACCATCCCGCCTCATCAATGCGCTGGTGGTTCTCCGGGGTGGAGAACTCTGCTAAGGTCTCTATGCACCTTGTGAGATGCGCCAAGAGCCGAAAAAGCCCTTGCAGCCCTTGCGCAAGACAGCAAAACAACCAAGGTCTTGTCAAAGTCTGCCCCACCAGAAAGGATGTCCAAACAAGCACAAGACTTAGCAAGTGTCGAAAAGGCTTTGGGTCGTGGCCCTCCCCAATCAACTGGTACCGAAAGGGAGGCTTCTAACTAACTGACCTATATCGTGAGTCGAGAAGCTGCGGAAGATCGTCCACTGCATCGCATGCGATGATGCGAACGATGGCTTCCTGAAGCCTGGCGTCACTTTCCGTCAACTTGAGCAGAGCTGCTTCGATCCCGCCGCCAGCCTGGTTTCCAATGAAGCCTCCTCGTAGCCTGTCTGAACATGTGCGCACAAATTAGTTTCCGGCAGACAAGTCCCAGAAAGAACACCACACAATCAAGAAGCGGTGAAACAATCTGACACAGGTTTATTACAAAATTGGGGATGCCCTAACATGGGTGGTTGCCCTTTCAAAACGATCCCAGCATTCAGCACACCCATGTCAGTGCCAAAGTGTGTGCAGTGGTGTCCTTTGCGACGGAAGCCAGTGGCAACCACGTAGAAGCAGGGATCTGCCTGGTGCAACACGGATGTCTCCGACTGAGCGCCTTCTTGTTTTGAATCACATCTGGTCCCAATTCCTAGGCCTTCTCCCCTGCTTGATGCTTAAGAAGCCGCCCAAATGATTCGCCTGGTGATACATCTCCGACTTGAATGGAAAGACCTGTCGAGGTACATTGTCAGTATCTGCAGGCGAGCATCTGTTAAAATCGTGCTAAGCACAACGAAACCCTTGGAAAAGGCCCGTGTCTCTATTTCGAATGCCGCCGTGAATGTTTTTTGCTTTTGCCTGCGCATGGCTGTGGCCTGGTCGAAGACCACCAAGATCAGACCAAGCAGGCGCATGATCGCCTCGGGCGCATGTTTTGAGTTTTGAAGCCTCCCGATTCCCGGCCTCGCGGTACCAATTCTCCTCTTGCGCACCACGCCCGCGCCAGCCAAAGCGGAAGAAAAACGTCCCTCGGCCAGCGGGGCGTTGTTAACACCGTGCAAGGCTTCGCGATGCGAGCCTCCTACATTGAGCTTGCCGAGCCCCAGCATGATCTCCTTTTGGCTACAACCGTTGCCATGTTAATGTCTGCGTGTGTCACTGGCAGGGATCCACCCTGTCCTTGAAGGTCAAAGCCCAAATTCCCAAAGTGCCACATGCTGCCCCCACTCCGACAGCCTCAGACTCCTCTCCTGCATCCCAATTCGCTGACAAAATGGGATTCCCGAGTACATTCGCCAAATCTTGAGGTGGGCAAAGAGGGTTTTCTCTTGGCTCGCAATCGGGCAAAAAGAGACACACACACACATGTCAAACTACATGTTTCACTTCCTGCATTTGTGTTGCATGGATGTTGGCTACTGCAGGCCTTGAGCTCACTACATCGCATGAGTCAAAAGGTTGGCAGCTGCAGACTACATTGGTTGACTGCTTGTTTGAACACTACAGCACTTGCGCTTGTAAGCAAAAGTAGCAACCAATTTTAACGTGGTAGCGGAGCTGAGATCCTAAACATAGGGGAGCTCCAGTAAGCAGTAAGTACTACAACCACAGCAACAGCAGTCGCATGCCAAACTACTACGACGTGTCAGGAGAAGCAGCATCAGCCTCAGCACAACAAACTACAGGAGCAGAGAACGGGCCAACAGCAGACACAGTAGGAGCCACGACTACGGGAGCAGGAACAGAACAAGACAACGACGTTCAGAGACTGCATATATACAAACTGCCACCACCCTTCTTCACTGGTGACTACTCACAGTATGAAGAATGGCCGTTCAAACTGCAAGCATACCTCGGCCTCATAGACCGAGACTTCGACCTGGTGCTACAGCTAGCACAAGTGACTACACGACAGATTGTCGACCCTACACAAGCAAGCAAAGCAGTAGACCTCTCCAGAGATCTACACTACATCCTCATCAACATCTGTCAGGGAGCAGCAGCTACAGTAGTAAGGCAAAACCGCTACAATGCGAAACACTGCGACTCCTACCCTACACAACAGGTTCAGCCTACCAGTAGGAACAAGAAGCGTTGGCTACCTTACCAAACTACTGGAACCTACATTCAACGAAGCGCAGTTTGAAGAACAATTCCTACAATGGGAATACGACATCAACCGCTACGAGAAAGACAACGGCACAGCACTACCAGATGGAATCAAAATAGCAACACTACTCAACAAAACCAAAGGAGCACTGCAGCAACATCTCCAACTGCGAGCTGGACAGATCACGAACTACATCGAGATCAGAGCTGTCATCCTGGACTACTACAAGACGATTTCAGCCTTCTCGAGATCGACTTCAGCAGTAGGCACAAACTACAATGGAGGAGCTGCACCAATGGATGTTGACAACATATGGAGGAAAGGAAGAAACTACAAAGGCAAAGGAAAAGGAAAAGGCAACTACAAGGGAAGCAAAAAGCAAAGGCAAGTACAGGAGTAAAGGACACTACAAAGGGTTCGGCAGAGGCAACAAAGGACACTACAACAAAGGAGGATGCAACATGAGCAGAGGAAAAGGCTACTCAGTATCCAAAGGATATGGATTCAGCAAAGGCTACAAAGGCCAAGGAAACTACAGCAAATCAAAAGGAAAAGGAAACAACGACTACACAACATGCCATCGATGTGGCAAGCCTGCAGAGTGCCAGTATGGCACATAGGAGAAGGAGAAGAACTACATCCACTAGAACAAGAACACGCAGATCATGACAACAATGAAGAACTACCTCAGGATGTGAACGACACCTGGGACTGGTACTACGAAGGAGAAGAAGGACAACACGAGGTAAAATACATGGAGGAGAACTGGAACGACTACGACTATGACAACAGCTGGGATTGGAATGGCAACAGCTATGAGGACACAGCAAACTACATTGGAGGCATCAACGAGTCACACCTCACTATTGGGCACATCAGACAAGCAAAGTCACGACTACACAAGCACAAATCCAAATCACTACTTGGCAAGAAAACAACACACACAACATCATGGAACGACCGCAGCAAGAGCCTTGAACAATTCCTACAAGAAGACACCACACAGCTACACTTCGACATAGCAGCAGCAACACAACAGCAAAGGAACAAGAAGATTGAGGACACTATCACACACTACATCATGTACTCCAACTTCAAGTCATACCACCACCTGTCGATCGACTCAGGAGCATCTACACATGTTTGTCCGAGGGACTACGCGCCAGACCTACGCTACGACCTTGTGGAGAATCAGTTCCACAACTCTACACGGTTACCAACAAGAAGATTCCTGTCTACGGCATCAAGTATGTTCCCTACAAGCAGGACAACTTCAGGATCATGATACCCTACTACGTTTGCGATGTGAAGTATCCAATCCTCAGTGCGTCAAGACTACTTGATAGAGGATATGGACTCGAAATCGCTCCACGACACTGCACCATCACACATGGACAACAACAAGCACACCTCATAAGACACTCAGGACTTTTCTACCTACGAGCAGAGAAGATCGACATCCCTACAGGATTCGACATCTACCCAATGACCACAGACAATGGAAAATCCATTGCTGTGATTCAACCTACAGAGGAAGCAAAACAACAACAAGAACAAATTGCACCACTCACACACACAGACCAAGGACTGCGACAGATCCTTGGTGGAAACACTGACTACTGGAAACTTGATGGTGACTACGCCATCAGAGTACACAAACGACCACGCAAAGCATTGTTCACACCACACAACAGTAGTTGCCCAATACCAGAAGGAGAACTAGATGATTGGCGACTAACCATCATCAACAGACAAGGGCAAGAGCAAGAACAACTACAAGAGAACCCAACACAACTTTCCAAGCAAGAACTACAACGAAGATTAGAAGGTGACAACTGGACTGGAGAAACCAGATTCAGAAGAAAGATAATACCTACACGCAGAGCAACATCACAACCACAACAGGTAATGGACACACCACCAACCAGATCAAAGATCCAACTACGAGCACCACAAAAGATATGGAGACCGAAAGCAGCACCTTCTACAAATCTTGACACCACACAAGCAAAGGAGACAATCCAGCACAGGAGGACAACCAAGACTACTGGGAAAGACAAGGTGAAGACTGGATAAGACACCACACAACACTTAGAACAACTCTCTTCACTCCAACAGATGGACCAGGACATCCACCAATCAGCACACTTGAGCCTCGCAGAACTACAATCACTCACAACAACTTTGGAGAAGTTTCACAACGCAAAGATGACTGGACAGTCATAGGCAACGCAGCACTACCATTTCAATGGAAAGGAACAACAAGGTTCACCGTGAAGAAAGACTACGAGTACATCCAGGAGAACCGCGATGAGGAACAACAACACGAGCATCATGAAGCACACAGAGCAAGAGGACTACGACAACCACAGCAGCCACTCCACAACAAATAGCGGAACACAATCTTACACATCTACCATACAGAAACTGGTGTCCAATTTGCGTTCAAGGCAAAGGACGCCAAGACAACTACAAGAAACAACAATCACGTCAACCCGTCATTCAAATAGACTTCGCCTACATCAAATCACAACAAGACCCAAAGACCATACCAGTACTGGCAGCAGTTGATGTTACTACACAACTGTGTATGGCAGTAGTGGTCCCGGACAAACCATCAATGATGGACTACATGGTCAACAACCTACAAGCATTCATCTTTGAGTGCGGAAGAACACAAGGCATACTACAAAGCGACAACGAAGACACAATCAACGCTCTTCTAAAAGCTACAGCAGCAAAAGTCGGCTCAATGACTGTTAGGCATGCACCCTCCTACAGCAGTAACAGTCAAGGAAGTGGTGAGCGACTACACCGAACACTCCTCGGACAGGTACGCGTCGTCAAAGCGCAGGTTGAAAGCAACTACAGCACGACGATGTCCACAAAGCACTGCCTACTACCTTGGATAGTACGACATGCAGCATGGACGGTAAATCGCTACGTCATCCACTCATACGGCTACACAAGCTTTGAACGCCGCTGGGGAAGAAACTACGAGCGAGCAATCTGCGAATTTGGCGAGACAATACTTTACCTTCCACCACAACACAAGAAACTTCCAAAAGCAGACCTACGGATGCAGAAATGCATCTGGCTCGGAAAAGTTTCCGAAACCGGAGAAAACTACGCCGCAACGGAATCAGGCGTACACAAGGTACGAACAGTACGGAGACTACAACCGGACTTCAATTACGACCTCGCACTGTTGAACAAAGTTTCCGGCACACCATGGGCACCACGACGGAACACCTACAACCCATCGTTCGCAACACTCTTGGATATGCAACTACAACCGTCAGAGAAAAGAAGGTCCACGCAAGACTTCGGACAACAGACGAACGCGACGGACGACATCGTTGCGGAACCCGCAACAAAACAACAACGCACTACACCACCTCCACGACTTCCGTCTACATCGACGTCAAGTTCACGACCACTACCGGATAGTCCTATGGCTACTTCACCAACCGGACGACAACATCCACTACTACCAGCACCACCTCGACAAACACTAAGACGTTTAACTCCGGAAGAAGTAATGCAACCAACCAAAGCACAGAAGACCTCAAAGGACACTACAATCAGATCAACGGAGCAAGCAACAAAAGAAGCACAACCACTACGACAGAAAATCAACGCAGTGACACTTCCCAACGGAACATCCATCACTCCCTACACAAACAACAACACCTCAGAAGACCAACCCATAATCTTTGACAACGAAGGTTATGACGAAACACAATTACTGGAAGGAATGAAACATGAGTCAAACCAAATGAAACTACACGACGTCTACGACAAAGTAGATGCGTCTACCTTGACAACATCCTAAAAGAAGCGAGACCTACAAGATGGGTACACAGAAAGAAAGGACCAGGAGTACGAAGCCGGATCGCCGCAAAAGGCTACACGGAGAAGATCGAGGACGAAGACTCCGTCTACGCCTCTACACCAATGTTCACGACACTCCGGACACTTCTCGCACTACAAATGTCAGGATCGCGCGACTGGGTGACGTCTCTACAACATTTCTACACGCACCCATCGCAAAAGACCACGATGGTAAACAACGTGACGTCTACCTTTGGCCACCTAAAAAACTTTGTCCACAACAGGACAAAATCTGGCGACTAAAGAAAGCCATGTATGGACTACGCAGTTCACCAAGAGCATGGCAGGACTACCTGGCTGAAGTGTTACAAAAGCTCAGCTTTGTAAGACTAAAGTCAGAACCTAACATCTACACCAATGCGACTCGCGACTGCTACATCATGGTCTATGTGGACGATCTACTGGCACTTGGAGACAAGACTGCGGTCGACTCCACGTTCGTATCTGTCCAGAAGCAGGTCCTACTCAAGCACATCGGCTACCTCGAACCTGGCCAACCACAACAATTTCTTGGAAGAAACATCGACCACTTCGGCAACTACTGCAACCTTGGACTAAAGGACTCCTACATCGACAACATGATCGAGGAGTCTGGAATGACCAACTGCAACACAGTGACCACTCCAGGAATCGCCCACTACAAACCAACAATAGAGGATGAAGCACTTCTTGACCACGAACAACATTAAATGTTTAGCATACACACGACCAGACATCGCATACTCTACAAAAGAACTGGCACGAGACCTCACAGCACCTACAGAACTTTCACAAGAGAGAGTCAAACATTTACTACGCTACTTGCACGGCACCAAGCACTACAAATTCACCATAGAACCAACAACAACACTCAGAGCAAACACCAACAACATCCTGGATCTCGACGTTCATGTCGATGCCGACTGGGCAGGATGCCCCACTACCAGGAAATCAACTTCAGGTTTCAACATCATCTTTTTAGGAACAACAGTTGCATTTGGCAGCAGAACACAAGCTACAATAGCACTCAGCTCAGCAGAGTCTGAAGAACTCTACGCCATTTGCACAGGAGTTAATGAGGGACTACACCTCAGAAACTTCCTACTTGAAACCAACATTTGCAGCAAGCTAAACCTACGCATCCACACAGACTCCACAGCAGGCAAGAGCATTGCTACACGACAAGGCACTAGCAAACGAGCAAAGCACATCGACCTCAAATTTCTCTACACACAAGACCTCATCAAACACGACATCAACAGAATCCTTAAGATCAACACACTTCACAACAGCGCAGATCTGCTTACCAAATACATCCCCAAAGAAACACTACACAGGCTCATCCAGAGCATTGGGATACGCATTTAGCACTACGAACGACCAGCACAACAGTTTCACCACAACAACAACAACAACAACAACAACAACAACAACAACAACAACAACGACGACAACAACAACAACGACTTTGGACATTTCTTGTGTGTAAGTAGCTACATGTAACACGACACCTTTGGTGTGTAAGTAACAGCTCATTTTGTTTTGCCCCGTTTCACTACATTATGCGTTCCACTGCAGCCATGGCCGCTCCATCTACTCCAGATGCTACGATGGGAGACGCAACTACGCCTGACAGGGCGACTACACCGGAGGTGGCGGTCACTACAGAGTCCAGTGACCAAGGAACTCCACCCCCTCAGACCTACAACGAGTCCAACTACCGCTTCAATCACTCCACGCCTGGCAACACGGCTTTTACTACAACCCGCAACTGTCAAGGATCAACTACACATCACGGAGTACCAGACAACCACTACTCCACCACTGCCTGACAACACACCCTACACTCAGTTTTCACTGCACTTACACTGGAAGACAACAACAAGCAACTCCACTTTCACAACTGGACTACACACGACCCATTCACTGCATCCCTGGAGACCTCCGGATGCCCCACTACAATTCCACACTGCTCAGCGTTTCACTACCTGAAGCAGCCAACGTCCACTACTACACACGACTTCACTCCACACTACGACTGGCAACAACACCAACTACGTCATCACCCAACCACAGATTGGACAGCAACTACTCCTGAGGTACCTCACTTCAGGACAATTTCTCCACTTCACCAGAGACTACAATTCCTACATGATGTCAATACAACAGAACTACTACCTCCCAACTACACAACATCCACAGACCATCTACAAGGTGGACTACGACATGACTACCTTCACCGACAACTACAGCCTGAGGAATAACTACATTTGGAACTATCACATGCCACTACTTCTACCGGAACTACTCCACTACCTCTACAACCGCGACCAACTCCACGACTTTCAACACAGGCAAGTACTACCATCCTCTGCAAAAGCATCCACTACATCGGCTTCTTAGGGACTACGACCAACATATGTCGTGCCCTGAGATAGACGATGAGAGACTACGAGGCGCTCCAAACTACATGACAACCTTTTTCACCACCCACTACTACGTGACCTTGGACAGTCGACTGCAGATGGTCCAAGACTACCGCGCCCAGAACTGGGCACTACGTGCTTGAGCTCCTGCTCTACTACAGTGAGTAACTGCCTCACCAATTCCATCCAGCGCCACTACATCGAGCTGGAACATGAACAGCGTGAACTACTGAGTGCAGGTTGCTACTTTTTGCCACTACAGTAGAATTGATGAACAACAATGGTTTTCATCACTACTGTCAATCCATGGTTTGCACTTCAGTTGAAAAGGTACTACAAAGACCTTTTAACTGAGGGGCCGTGTCAAACTACATGCTTCACTTCCTGCATTTGTGTTGCATGTATGTTCACTACTGCAGGCCTTGAGCTCACTACATGAGTCAAACGGTTGGCAGCTGCAGACTACATTGGTTGACTGTTTGTTTGAACACTACAGCACTTGCACTTGTAAGCAAAAGTAGCAACCAATTTTAACGACACAGAGAGAGAGAGAGAGAGCGCGAGAGAGAGAGAGAGACACACGTGGCCTTGTCTCGCGTTGCGAGACCCTTTCCCTCTCTTTTTCGCCTCACCTGGGATCATGGCAGGAGCCCTCAGACACTGCCCAATTCGAGCATCTTCAAAGTTCCCAAGCACCTAGCCCTTCATGCCCACATGCACTAAGATCCCCGCGCTGGTTTGCCGGGCTTTTCTTGCCCAGGTCCTGCAGTTTCAGAAGCTTGCATTTGTTCATGCGGCTTCGCTAACGTTCGGACGAGCCTCCCGGAGGTCTACCGAATGGGTCTTAGGTTGCTTCGTGTATCTATGTATATTTGCTTGTACGTTGTATGTTCACGTGGTTGTCATCTGAGGCAAGCCGGTAACCTCGTCGAGGTGTCCTGCGCATCTGCCATGATCACATCCACGAGCTGTAAGCCTGCTGTTTTGGCTACGGTCAACATGACTTGTTCCCCCAGGCGGGCATGAATTTAGGAAGTTCCCTGAGTAAGTTCCTTGGTTTTTTGTGGGGAACTTCGTGAGTTCCTCATGATCCTTCCAAATGGACGCTAGACTTCTGGTAAATTTCAGCGAACCTCATATCTGGAGAAAGAGAGAGCTGACGCAGGTCACGATGTACGCTGAGGTTTCGGGCATTCCAGATCTTTGGGCGCTTGGAGCTCCATCAGGTTGCAGACCTGCACCAAACAAGGTGCGAGTTGGGACCCCAGCGCCCTTTACTTTGCCCGGAGGGATCACGTGGCACGCGGAACGCACGTGCGCCTGGATGTGCAGGCGCGGGTCGTGCAAGAGCATCGGGAAGCCACCTGCCTGACCAACCGCAAGCGTCGATTCCTTCATTTGCCTTGAAAACATCACCCACCTCGAATTCGTTTGAATAGGTCTGAAAGGTGATTTCCCAAACCATTAAAAGGGGAAATGTAGGGGCTCCTGATCCGGAAGCCCTGACAAGCCAACGCTGCGAGGCGCCTGGTATGGCAATGTGACACCGTAGCCCTGACCAGAGGAGCCAGTCTCCTGTTCTTGGCTGGGAGCAGCCATCTAGGAGGCACTGGACAATTGCCGCATTTTCTCCCGGCTCTCTGCACGTGAGTTCAGCATCGAGCCAGCGATGCAACCCTCTGGATGGTCCATCCCCAACTCCGAGGGATGGCCCCGCACCCTTCGCGCTATCAGAGCCTCACAGCGCGAATCAACACCTTAGGTTGGGTCTCACCCCATCGTCCGCCCAGAACTTCTTAGGCCGGGACCTTGAAGCTCCTTCTCGGCTTTTGGCATCGGAGGACCAGTCCGAGCTCAGGCCCAGCTTGGAGACTGAGAACGGCTGGGCCCTGTGTTCTCTTCAAGGTGTTCTTGAGCGAGCCAAGCTCGGACAAATCACCTGCCAGCCCGTGAATTCGCAGCTTGCTTTCAGGGAGATACCCATCCGGCCTTCAAGGCTTTCTTCCAATGCTCGCGTCTGCACAGGGCTTCACAGCATCATTCAGAACGGGGTGAATACGCTTGCCTGCTTCTGGATCAAGCGGCCACTCTGTGAAGGTCTCCACATCGTGCCAGCGTTCAACCACCTGGGCCAGCAAAGCATGCAATCCACACAGCCCCAGTTTTTACTGTGCCTCGGGCATAACGCCAAGCTGCAACACTTCTCACCAAAGACTCCTGCATGAAACATGAGTCTGCCAGTCTACCGTTTGCCAAATAGGGTGGTGAGCAGTGCTTCAGATTCCACTTCCTCATTGAAGCGCTTCATAACTGCAGAAACCGCCTGCGGGATGAAAGCTCTTCTCTAGCTAAACTCAACGGACCCACCTGCAAGTTAATGTTCAGAAGTTGAGACATGAGATCTGGTATTGACCTCATGTGTTGCTTCAAGTCAGGCCAAGACAAGCTATGTGAGTCACAAATCAAAAGGTCTTCGAGGCGCTGGCCTAAAGTACTGCACGTGCGGGAACATGGCCCAGTCTGTGAACTTGGACCAGTAGAGGGAGCGCCTTCGGCTCTTCGGCTCGGCTACCGCGTTTGTCGCGGTCACGTCTTGGCTGAGGCGCTGGCTCTATGTCGAGTGGACCGAATCCGTCGAAGAATGGCGAGTAAGGCACCCGTTCCTGGACGCAGGAAGCTCACAAGCGCGTGTAGTTCCGGCCAAGTAACACAGCTGCATGCACGTGCCGCAGCCTCCTCTGTCAGCAGCTTGACACGGCCTGACGAGTGGCAAAAACAACTCATAGACATGGCAATTGGTCCATCAGCTCACCGCAAGATCCGCCTGCATACTCTCAGGATATATCAACAGGTTGTTTCCAAAAATGGGGGGGCCTGAAACAAGGTGCCCGCTTGTCATTGAACACGCAGTGTGCAAACAGCCACAGGAGCCAAGCCTGATTCGGGGAAGATTCTCGGCTGTTCAAGATCTGGGCGGGTATGCTGACCTGTGAGCGAAAAGCAGCAAACGCGTCATGGAGTCAACACCTGAGTCACACTGCCTCAGCACATAAATTAACAACAATCAAGTCCAATGCAAAGTCTCAAGTCTTGCTACTAAAATGATCTGCATAATATGTCTCAAGTCCTTGCTCATGGCTGTCCACGTGCAACTTTGGCAGCGCATGCTGAGGCCCAACCAAAAACACCCCAATGCCACAGCTGGAATGGCACCTAGATGGCCCATGAGGCTCAGGCGCAGGAACAGAGTGTCGCGTGCACAGTGTCAATAAGCTCGGGGCGAACATTGGCATGTTCATGGAGTAGAACTCCCAGAAAAACATCAAGGAGGTGTCATAGGGAAAACCCACCTTCGGCAAAATGTTGTGCGGGTTGCGTATCTGGCTTTGTCCGTCTTAGGCGCGAACCACTGCTCGAAATTCTGCGAGGGACTGGTATGAGAGGGTGTTGTTGTAAACCTCTCCATCTGCACAAACTAGGCGAGGGATAAACCCGACAAACCAAACAGCAGCAGCAGCAGCAGCAGCGGCAGCAGCAGCAGCGGCAGCAACAGCGGCAGCAACAGCCGCAACAACAGCCGCAGCAACAGCCCCAGCAGCAACAGCAGCAGCAGCAGCAGCAGCAGCAGCAGCAGCACAAGCAGCAGCAGCGCAAGCGGCAGCAGCGGTAGCAGTAGCGGCAGCAGCATCAGCAGCAAGCAGCGGCAGCAACAGCAGCAACAGCGGCAGCAACAGCGGCAGCAAAAGCGGCAGCAGCAGCCACAGCAACAGCCGCAGCAGCAGCAGCAGCAGCAGCAGCAGCAGCAGCAGCAGCAGCAGCGGCCGCAGCAGCAGCAGCAGCAGCAGCAGCGGAAGCGGCAGCGGAAGCGGCAGCGGCAGCGGCAGCGGCAGCGGCAGCAGCACAGTGCTTAATAGTGTCCGAGGCAGAAAGGAAGATTGCAAGCCTTTTAGACATTGACCTCTGCTCAAGTTCAGGTGGGCCAGCCTCCTCTGTAGTGTGAGGATTCCTCGGTGTCATTGAAACGTTTTGCTCTCGGCATGTCCGGTGTGCTTGCGTGTGCGTTCTGATACTTTTGTCCGTGTGAGATGTTCAAAAAGCAAACCAACATGATTCCCCCACCTACCAGATGAATATCTTCATTGTCGCTAATATGGGTCCTTCTATGGAACTCTCTAACAGAACCAACCCCCTAAACGGGCAAATGCCTAACTTTGAGAAACGCCTCTTTTTCACTCTCTCCTCCAACAGACGAGGCACAACATGTCGGTGAACTGCACAAAGCGCAAAGGATACTCCTTGGTCGACGTACAAGCTTTTGCAATACCATCGACATGTGTGACCAAGGAAACATCGAAGATATTGTGTCAGACACCCCTTTGCTCCACTGGCAAACAAAGCCGTTGCCAAACGTTGAACCAGACTCAGGATTCGCATCCACAAAGCGGTTCAGGATGCATTCCTGCCAGCCCCCGCTGGTACCAGGGCGGGAGACCAGCACCTGAAGCGACCCTAAAAAGGGTTTCTTGGGTTCCCTTCGAAATCCAAAGAAACTTCAAGAGTCATCCTGGCAAGGGAGTTTCAAAAGAGTAGTAAACGCAAGTACATTTCTCCCTGTGTGATGCGTTTGTAGCAGCTCAGATCTCTGGGCAAGGCCTCTTTGCAAGATCTTTACAAGATCTCCACGAAATAACTTTTTACAGGATGCTGTACAGGATCTCTTGGGAGGAACTTATCAAAGGCCCTGGCATGCACACATGTCATTGCCCGCTGCGCGCGATCTCTTGTTTAAGACCTGCGCAAACGTCTGCTCTAGGAAGGCGGCGCAGGGACTCTCTGCAGAGAACATGTATGGAAAGCCCTGCGCTAGATCTCTTCCGGGAATATCTTTAGACGGTGTTGGCAAGGTCTTGCGCCACATCTCCAAGCAGGATCTCTAACAAGTATCAGGGTACAACGTCTTGCAAGGGTCTCCGGCTGGAGGCTCATACGCAATAGATCGCAATAGGTCTTAGAGAGGATCTATATGGAGATATTGCGGATCTGGAGATGCGGAAGATCTCTTGAAAATTAGGTATGCAAAATCCCAACAATAGAGAGGACAAGGAAGAGGCTTGAGCATTTTGTAGTTTGCCGGTAGCCCAGCGGAATCAGATCGGTGCGACCGCACCAAGGAGCCCAAAGGGGTGCAGTCGGAGCCCCTGTTATACTCGAGAAGGAAACCGGGCGGTTCGGGAAAAGAAAACCAACATAAAACCAAGCAAATGCCGGGGGGCTGACCAGGAAGTGCCGACACATGTCCATTTGCGAGCTGGTCAAAACTAACTCTGAGCCTCTTTGGTAGCACTTGTCGCCAGCGTGTCCCTGCTGCCATTGATTCCCTTGGCAGTTCCGTTGGTTTCGCTTACAACAACCCAAAAAAAGAGGGTCACCCTCTTCTGAAACACACCCATTTAGTCACTGACTTGGCTGCGAAAACAAGCGCGGAACTGCGAACAGGCCTCGCGGTTGCGCAGAGGCAGGTAGGTGGCGTTGGTGTGCAGCCCGTGAATGCGCAGTGTGGGGATCCTCACCCCCGTCTGCCAGGCCACCTTCGCGCAGATCAGCGTGCACCATAGACGTGGAGAACTGGTCGAATCAAAACCAGACCCTAGAGAGAATACAGACAAGACCGCGACCCATTTTCAAAGATGCTACGGACGCGCGGGTTGAAGAGAAAAATGGCCAGTTGCCATGGACTCCTAAGGGAAGCCTCTACAATAAACCAGTCGAACAGCAGTGGCCACCGTGCGCGTGTGCCTCGCCTCCTCGGCCAGGTACGCGTTGTTGGCAGCCACGATGGTCCACTCGTGCTGGGCCATCTTCACGAAGGCGTGCAGGAAATCCTCACGCTCGGGCCGGCTCACGTACTGCAGAATCGGCAGGCCTGGCAAGGGCCAGGCACTCATATAAAAAAGTATCTCAGGGTGCGCACAAACCCTTTGTGGCACCTTGCATCGAATTGGTGGGATGGGGCTTGGTGATTTGGAGAATTAGGGGCGTCCGGAGAAGCCACAATCCAAACCACCAATCAACGGTCACCTGACTTTGTGCGGGGGAGGGGAAACGTGTCTGGTTTTAGATAGAGGGAAACCAAGTACCTGCAGGAGTCCCCTATTCGACACATAGGGAGCAATCACCGAAAAAGGGCACAACATGTACCAATCGTTGAGGAGCCAATTCTGAACCACGGGACCAGGTGGGTTCCAATGGGTCTGCACTTTGCGAGGTCCATTGCTTTTTCTTTTTTTTGAGACATCCCATGTGCCTTGTTTTGGCGAGGCATGTGGGCATGTGAAAGCTGGATGCCCGCCTAGATAAGCGAAGATCGGCTTGGGTGGCGATTCCGTGAACTTTGACATGGCATCCCACAGCAGTCGACACCAGACTGCCGGAATCGAACACATCCAAACATCCTTACAAGCCCGGTCACGGGGTCACGGGCGTGTGCCCAACCCATGACTTGCAAGGAGTCACACTGCACAGAGACCGGCAGGAAAGCCACCCATCCAAGTGGCAGCTCTGGAAAGTTCTGGCAGAAGCTCTTCTTGGAAGCGATTCGACAGCTCAACATATGGAGTGTCCTCCGCCTGCAACACGGAAGAAAGGATGCGTGTCATGGTGAAAACTTGTGGGTGAAGTGACCGGAACTGGGCAACCCTCTTTTCTGTTGATGGGTTGAAAAGGTGGGCTTCTTCTGGCTGCATAGCACAAGGCCAGACAAGTGCAAATCGCAGCGCCTCGAATCGTGCCGACCTAAAGTCAGACAGTCACTCAAACACTTGCAACATCTCGCAACCGTGCACGCAGCTAAGACGCAGACAGCCAGTCTAGAAATTCCATATTGCGACCACTTGCACAAAGTGGCGGCTGGTAGTTGGAGCACAACTGCATCGCCAAAGAGTTGCCCCAGAACTCCACAGCAAAGTCTGGCAGGAATCCTGGATTCCGTCTGAGAGAAATTGGTATTTCTGCTCTGGTCGTCTGGTCGCGGCCGAGCAGCGGTTGATCATTGTGACCGCCTCTCCGGCCGTCGACGTGTGGATGCAGAACTGCCACACCACCAATCGACGACTGGATCCCAGGCCACGCCACTTGAGCTCGGGGCCTGACGACTCCACGACTCCGGAACATGAGCCTGTCAGATCAAGCGCACCTGGCGCACCTGGCGCACCTGTCCAATCTTCTTATCTTCTTGTGTTCCCATTCGGAAAGCCATCTTTAACGGCTTTCTTGGATCCCCTTTTGCTGTTTGCACAACTCTCTTGCCGGGAGTTGAACTCCAAACCCACTTTCTTGATTTATCTCAAGGCAAAGTGCGCATAGCAAGGTCGCAAAAAAGAATACCTTCTGAATTGTTTGAGCTGTTTACAGCACACATACAGCAAACACATACACCTTGCTCCCCACTTACTCCTGAGCTTCTCAAGATTATGAATAAATGGGATCCTAGTATGACCCCACATTTTTCCACGGTAGACCTTACACAAATGACGAAACATACGACACAACTAACAAGGTGGCAATGGATGTGAAATGATTAACAAATAAAGCTTGTGATGTAAAATGCAGCATTCGAACGTGCATAATAGTAATGAACAACTACCAGTAAGGTGCCTGATGAGTAAAAGGCAACATGCCTCAATGATTGCATGATGAGAACCCAACTAAGTATTCCTCGCGTCCATCGCCGTGCCCATCGGCATCCAAGGAGCGTCCCGGCAAAGGCCAGAAGGGAGCAGCTCCCGGCATCGGTTTGGAGGCCTCCGCTGTCTCTTGCCACCACAGCCGCTCCTCGATGCGAGGCTGATGCTTCGCCCAATTCCCCAAACCCGAGTGAGAAACAGCGGCCAAACGAGGAACCATCAAACCAAGTTGTCGGCCTCCCGTTGGCGGGCCGCCGAAGCGGGGTCGCTTCTTGCGAGCCAAGGCGCGTAGTAAAAGGCCGCGTCGTACTGTCCAGGGTGCGCGTACTCCGGAGCTTCTGTAAGCGGCACCCAGGTGCCGCCGGCGTGAAAATTCACCTTGCCATGGAGCGTAGAGGGATCTACCCCAATGAAAATTCTGCGCTCGCGGCCAGGATCAAGAATGACGAAACGGGCCAAGAGGATGACTCCAGAAAGTCGAAGGAATGGTAGTGGCCTAAGAACCAGATTCCAAGTCGAAGGAATCAGGAACCAGAATCCGTGGAAACTCACAGCTCCGCTTTTTGCGAGAAGATTTCGCCCATCCATAGATGTCCCTCAATAACTTCCGGGCTTGCGGGTATCTGAGCTCGCCGAAGCTGAAGCCAGGAGCCGGGCCCAGGAGGTGCTTGGCAGTGTAGACGTAGCGCAAGGCATCACCCACCTTTGGCTTCAATCGGATTGTTGACCCACACGAAAGAGCCTATAGTTCGGAGCAGGTGTCTAAAGGAAAAGCAAAAGAAAAAAGCGTCCCCTTTTCTAGCGCAAACCCATTTATCGGCCTGGCAAATACAGAACGTGGACGGGAAACTTACCCTCCAAACAAAAGCCCTTCGAGAAACAGAAATCAATCACAAAATGACACTGAAACAGGCCGCAATGGGCAATAAATCTGTTGTCAACCAGTCTCTGAACAATCTGGGGAGGTATCAATCTGAAGGGGAGCGTACTGCCGAGGCTCCTTCTCTGGGAGCCTGTGCCAAGCCAGCACCATGAGCGCCGTGAGGTAGCCATAGAGGCAAAATCCGGAGGCTTCCTGGTGAGTGCACCAGGTGCAAGAAACGCTTCGCTCAAGGTCACACCTGCAGGGGTCGATACGGTGTCTTGGTGTTCTCAAAGTAGTGCCTGATGAGATAGCGCCTAAGTACTTAATGAAAGCAGTTTCCAAATCTCGAATCATACATGTAATCCATGCAGAAGGCTAACCTGATAAACACAGCTGAACAAAAGTGGCAACGCTGGCCAATTTTATGTCTATGAAGCATGGAGTTTGGTCTGTGTCGCTTAGGAGCGCGCTCGAAGTTGTTGGAATCGTGACCTTGTGAGACGCGCTGGAGATGCTAGTTCTTGAACCCACGGAAAGAAGTCAAGGCCAACAGGGGTGTTATAAGAACCAACATGAAATCCCTCCAGCTGATGGATTTCATGCTGGTTGCCCCTTAAACGCATCCCAAACGCGTCCTTGGTTTTAAGATGATGTTGAGCTTTGCAAAGCAACAACTGGTAACCAAGGCTTGCGCACCTTGAGCAAGTTGCGTCACAAGGCTCTGACATTCTCTGTGTAGCTCAGCCACGAAAGGGAAGCCAAGTTCTGAGCTGCTAAGACACTCCTCGCCTGACAAGCACGCTTGGCCAAGCGTCGACATTGCCAGTGCACCCATCGTTCTCCCGAACCATGGTGATACCAGTAAAGTCCGGCATAGGCCGGGGGCGGAAGCTTCACGCAAATAGAAAGACTATAGTTGGGAGAGCGCTTCTTTCCCCTTTGTTTCACTGTCATTCTCCTCTTTTCTCTGTCTCTCTCTCTCTCGCTTTCTCTCTTGCTTTGCTCCTTCTTTTTCACAACCTCTCTCTTTGCTTTCTCTCACCCCCGCTCCCCCCAGCCCACCCCCACCCCTCCCGAAAGTCCACTGAGATTTCTACCTTTCTATCATTTTTTTCTTGAACTAGCCATTTTTCTATCAATCTATCTTTCTGCTGATGTACATGCCTATCTCTGTCTATATCTACCTTCTATCTTTCCATCTTTCTTTCTTCTTGGCCAGCTGGCCGGCCACTGTTTCACCAGAGTTTTGAAGGTCGCCCCCGAAACTTTGCATACGGTTCACCATTTGCCGCTTACGCAGCGGGGGCTGTGCCAGTGGGTCGTGCCGAACCCGTTCCACACTCGCTTTGCACCACGACGGGGGCTGCTCACGCACCGCCGCAAAACCCGAACTCATGCACCACGGGCTGGTTCCCACGAATTCCAACTTGTGCTTTTGCTTTTGCACTCAAGTGTATCGATTCTTAAGGATCATGCGCAGGTGCATGCATTCTTAAAAGGAGCTATCTCAATTAGCTCCAGTACTACCAAGTTCTTGTTAAACTCCCTTTGATAACGTCAAGGTCCATTTTCGCCTCTCTTCAATCTCCGGTGTCAACTGTCCGTCCAGCAATGGGCAACAAGTCAGGCCCCAACCTGCTTGAGCAGCCTTCGGGCACACCCACTTCCGCCACTGCTCCTCGCCCGAAAGTCAACCGGCTGTGGGCCATCGTCGTCATGGGCCGATTGTGCACTTTGGCTGGCGCGTAAAGCGTAAGTTCTTCCGATATTCGAAGCAGAGCAAGGTTGAGCGACTCCGAGGTTTGATCGCGCGATGGCTCCGGTTTACCCGGTTTACGGGAACCCTCGGGGCGTCTATCCCTTTCAATTATCCGCCGACATTGCTCGGCGTGTCGGACACCTAAGAGAGGATAGAGGATAACCCCCCCCCCTAACACCCGACGTCTGATACGTGGGGGGGGGGGGCCCCCCCCCCCCAAGGACCGCGCGGCAATTTGATGACGTTCCACTAAACGTAGTCTTCGGGGACCCGGTGTCGCAAAACAGGGGTCCCAGGCTCGATTCCCCCTGCCGGCTTTTTTGCTGGCTTGGGCTTCCTGCATCCTTTTGCCGAAAATCTGGAAAAACTCTGTGTTTTTGGACATCATCTTTGCGAAAACGCTGGAAAAACAGTGTTTTTTGCGGGAAATACTGGGGAGCAAAGGGGAAGTGCAAGGATACATACATACATACAGACATACATACAGACAGACATACAGACATACATACATACATACATACATACATACATAACATACATACATACATACATACATACATACATACACATACATACATACATACATACATACACATACATACATATTACATACATACATTACATACATACGTTGCGTTGCGTTACGTTACTTTACATTTACGTTACATTTACATTACATTTACATTACGTTACGTTACGTTACATATGCGTTACGTTACGTTACGTTACGTTTACGTTACGTTACGTTCACACTACATGCATTGCATGCATTGCATACGTACATACACGTTACGTTGCGTACGTACGTACGTACGTTACATGCGTACGTACATACTGGCATGCAGACGTGCGTACGCATGCCTACCTACCTTTACCGTACATGCATACGTACATACATACGTTACGGTACATTACGTTACGTTACGTTACGTTACGTTACATTACGTTACGTTACGTTACGTTACGTTACATGCATGCATGCGTGCGTGCGTACATGCAATAGCCCATTACATACATTCCGTTACGTTACGTTACGTTACGTTACGTTACGTTACACTACACTACACTACGTTACGTTACGTTACGTTACGTTACATTACATTACATTAC